TTTTTGTTTATTAATATTTATACCACTTATAAGGTAAATATGTAATATGAAAGAAAAAGCATCTCTTTGAACGAAGAAAACCGGTGCTCCCCATCGCTCGCATGAGCGCCTGAGGTCGCTTGCTCACTGCTCATGTCCTGCTCTGCAGAGATCAGGCACTCGCGTGAGCGATGGGAAGCGCCAGTTTTTGCTCACGTGAGTGATGGGGACTCCCGGTTTTCGCTCGTGTGAGTGATGGGGAGCCACAGTTTTTGCTTGCGCAAGCGATGGGGAGCAAGCGATGGGGAGCTCACTCACCCGCCGCTCACCTCCTGCTCTGCGGAGCTGCCCTGGTTACAACCCTGGCTCAAATGAAGGCTCCACTCTCCCAGCCCTGCCACTTGAGTATCGGTGTATAACACACAGCTAGGATTTCAGCCCCAAATTTTAAGGAAAAAAGTGTGTGTTATACGCTAATAAATATGGTATATACAAAACTACTACTTATAGGTTTAGAGAAAAATCTTCAACCCAAAAAATGTTTTGGTAAGTTGTACCAGGATTTGTTTATGCAGAGACCAAAACTGATTTAGTATGACTATGAATTCAATGCTGGGAAAAATCAACCAACTGATAATAAAAAAATCAATATTGCAGTATAGCAAATGATCAGAGCAAAAAAAGTATTGTTTAAAAATGGTTTAAATCTCTTCAAAAGCACATATTTAAAATAAAAAACCCAAACCCACACACACGTCTCGGTATCTTTGTAGCAAAATTGAATAATTTTATATTCATGTTAGGCTTTCCCTATTATCTAATATATTATCATAAATATAAAAGAAAAAAGAAAAAAAAAGAAAGGACTCAGAAGAACATTAATGGCTGTAAATATCCCTAAAAATGTATAGTTTGAAAATAGGTTATTGGCAATCTTCAAATGTCCATAAAATTATGGCTGACAGATCATCTCAATGCAGGTGAGAGCTTCGTCCCACTTCAAGCTCTACCTTTCCTCTCCTCCACTTCAATGATGCATCAGCTGGCTAAATTTGGACATGGATGTAAATCCAAATTTGCCAGTCTTCCAGAGCACCTTTGCTTTATCTACCTGTTGGGTAACTTGACAGATGGCTAAAACCTCAGTTCCAGGCATTCACCTATGCTTGCCCAGCGTTAGGGTGGCCTGTTCTACCACACATTGAGGAGAGTGATTGAGGATAGCTTTTCCCACTGGTTGGTGATGCCGGCTGGGAGAGAAAAATGAAGCCAGGAAAATCCACCTGGCCTTAAACTGTTCTGCAATAAAGCTGTAAGGAGAGAGCCACTTGCAAATCCCATTACTATATTGAGGCAGATTAGAGCGCGGCCATTGGACAGTACAAATTACGCAGTGATACATTTCTGCTGACTCAGGGGCTGGAAAAGCCCACACTAACATGGCCATGAGAAAGAGTCTTTTAACCTGGCATGTTTATTAAAATGTGGATTACATTTTGAGACTAAACTTATTTGAAACTCAAATCCAACAGGCTTTATAGCAGTGTTTCTCAACCTCAGCAACTTTAAGATGTGTGGACTTCAACTCCCAGAATTCCCTAGCCAGCATGCTAGGGAGAATGCTGGGAGTTGAAGTCCACACAACTTAAAGTTGCTGAGGTTGAGAAACATTGCTTTAAAGAATGGTTTCCCCTTTTTTTGTTGCTGTTGAACTACAGAACATCTGAGGAGTTGCACTGGCTGAAAAATCCAATGTTTGTGAGTTATTTCTGATGAGCCTAAGGTAGATCTGCTCTCACAGCTTTGTGCAATGACAGCTAATTGGAGAAAAAAGGCAACTAACAAAATACCTGAGTCATAATGAATAAAGTAAAATAAATAAGGTAAAAGTATATGCACTTATAAAAAGCTACTTTGTTACTTTTTTAAGACACAGGGTAGAGATTAACCTATTACCATTTATAAGCAAAATGTACTTCACATAATTATAAGCAAAAATAAGGAAATTAAGTTTGCTCATTTCAGTTATACAAGTGAAACTTAAAAAATTAGAATATTGTGCAAATGTTCATTTATGTCAGTAAGGCAACTCAAAAGGTGAAACTAATATATGAGATAGACGCATTACA